TTTAATAGAACTTAAATTAAGCTGGATATTTTTTTTCCCCCTTGGCTTGAAAGGTTAGACCTCTGAAAACTATTACTGGAGTGCAACGATCTGCTGCAAGAACCTTAAAGAGGACATTTTTCAGGATACAGATTCAGAAAACAAAATGATGTTGTGCAAAGGATTTCTATTTCATTTTTTAAAAAAACAGATTTAATTTGGAAAATGAACTGAGATAGATTGACAAGAATTCATAAATTCCTCACGGAATTGCCAAAACTGAAAAGCATGTCTCCTGTGTGATTCTGCCAAAAGGACATCAACGGTCCAATTTGCCTACTCTCAAATTTATTTTTAAATTCTGATGGGAACCAAGTATAAACATTCCTGAAGATGCCACCACGAAAGAATGGGCATAAGAAACTTCATGAAGCCAGTTATGATAGGCTAGAAAAAAATACCACAAAACCAATCCCTTAACCAAATCAGGGATACAGGCAATCCACCTTTCAAATGAACATATTTTCCCTGATGTTCCCCTCCTCACTCTGACGTGGTAACTGGCTGCTTTCTAGAACTTTCCTTTTGGGCAAAAGAGAAACAGAAATGTCACTTCATTTAACCAAAGGGAAGGCATAATTTGTAGAATCCCAGCATAGTAAAACTGGCGCTCCTTTTAAGTTGATGAAAGAGCCAGAAGACTAATTAGAAAAAGTGGAAAAAGAAACTATAATGGGCAAAGGGAATGGTCTTGAAGGACAGGATGAAGAATCATTACCAAGACAACAGTCAGACAAAAGAGGACCAAGTCCTGGATAGTAATGTATTGTAAATAAACATCTCTGACTTGAAAAAGGGAGGAAGTGGGGCAGGGGAGGGAAGCATATTCAGACTTGCAAGTTTCTATTACTATAGCTTTACAGTACAAGTATATTGACCTACATGACATTGGATTCCTAGTCTGGCCTTCTTTGAAGGGTTTCCCCAGGTTCTTCCTTCCCTCAAAGCATCATATTAAAAGCCTTTCTTCTTAGGATCTCCAGCATGGGAGTAAAAAGTTAAAGACACCCTACCAACCAGTAAACTCCACATTTATGTTCTTATGTGTAATCCAGTCATGGAAAATGATTTTCCTAAGGTAAGAGAATAACCATTGTCCATAGTATCTATGAGTTGCCTTCTAAAATAGAATCAAATAAATCAAATAAATTAAAATAAAATAACAAAATAAAAATTAAACTAACAGCATTCTAGGTTCAGAAGGATATTCAATACACATAAGTAATGTTATCAGAAGTTACTTCTGTAATGTTTAATGGAAATCCTTCATACATCTGAATAACCATGGGAAATGGGTGCTTTCAAGTCAGTTTGGACTCCTAATACCCACCGGGACAAGTCCCTGCAGTTTTCTTAGCAACTTTTTTGGAAGTGGCTTGCTAATACCTTCTTTCTAGGACTGAAAGTGAATGACTAGACCAGGGGTGGCTCAGGAATTCTGGGAGTTGAAGTCCACGAGTCATAAAAGAGCCAAGGTTGCCTACCCTTGGACTAGACCAAAATCACCCAGCTGGCTTTCTGCTTAAAACAGGAAATCACAGTATCTTGGCTTCTAACCTTATGTCTTAATTGCAACAGCAAACTAGTTCTCACAGCTGAATAGCCTACATTAGAATTTTTCACAAAAATGATGTATTTTTTTCCAGAACTTTTAATTTGGTGCAACAGTTACCGTCCAAAGCTATAAAACCTGGGAGACATATAGATCACATCAAAAGGATTATTGTCAAGATTCAAATGACTACTTCAAGAAGCATAATTGTGATAAGCTTCAAAACTAGGTTATTTAGAATGCCAGAAGTTTTGTGGGAGATTACATTCACAAATTAAGCAGTATCATCCCTCTTTACTATATATACTGTACATAGAACATTTTCTTCCATGTACATGTAACATAGTTTGGAATCCAATTAACTGAATTTGGAATTTTTAATAAAACTATGCTAAACCAAAGTGTTTTGCCAGGATTAGAATCACTCCTTTCTTTGTCCTTAATTATAGCCAGAATGAGGATTCAACTAAACTTTATACTATCTTTGGATTAATTATAGTTTGCCATGTCATATAAGTAAGAACCGGGACTAATTGTAATCATAGCTTTGAAGAAGCCACATAATATTTACAACCACAATTAGGCTTGAACTTGTTTAAAAGCTGTAGATAGTACAGAAAGTTGCTCTATGACCAGATTGCTGAGGGGAGATCTGTTGCTAAATATGGCACAATTGCTCTGTTATTTTATCTTTAATTATCTTGTAAAATGTTAGTTCTAAATGGCAGATTTTGTAATTTTTGCTGTTTCTGATGAACCCCAAAACTAATTTTGGGAAAGGCTTTTAGTTCTATAGACTTTTTCCCCCCTTATTCTGAAAATAGTCTTGTTAATAAGCAATACTACTGTTTATCACTCAGAGGTAAGGGAGAAAAATATATTGTCAAACAATTCAGCTGGTAATTATTGTGCCTCTTTCAGTGGGAGGTATCAGGAACTTCAAGACTCAGCCTCATCAAATCAAACAGGACTTCTGCAACTGGCTTTCCCGCAGCTGCTGCACATCTAAACAGATGGTTTACCCAAGGCTCCAAGTCCAAACCACATCAGGCATCTGGTGTTTCCAATTAAGTACAGAAATGTGCCCACATTCCCTTGTCAATTTATGAACAAGTAATATTTCTCCGAAACCTGATCCTGTTATCATTTAAACCAAATGTTAACCAGTAACGCCAATCACACTTGTTTCTATGTATAGAAGGGAAAATGCAAGGAAAAAAACAAGACCCATGATAATGATCATATCGGAATGATAGAATGAACATTTGAAAAGGGGAACATTCTAAGAAAAAATCAGGAAGTAAAAGCTTTCAGTTCTGATTTTTTTTTATGCAAATCAATTCCTTGATTGTCCTATGCAAGCTCTTTAATCACTAGAAAATCAAGTAGCCACTTTTCAGACTAGTTAATAATCATAGCACAGGTGGCTGCACTTAGAACTGCCTTAGAGAAAGACATTTTTCCCATCTATCAGTTCATTGTTCATTCTTAAGCACAATAATTCTTAGGGTCCTCTCCATCCCCAAGACCAGAAGACCCTTTATGTCCATGGAGATTTATTACTGCAACTTCCTTCTCTTCAGTATCTCTTCATTCTCTTTGTAATGACAGATTACAATCTTTGCCCCTACCCTCAATAGATGCCCAAACCATTGCAACCATTTTCTCAAGCCTTATTTCTTATTCTTTAAAATAGTCCTAATGCCTCAACTAAAGTAATTTCTATCTTTTCTCTCCATAAATAACTAAACTATATATTGCGATTTTGCCCATCAGCTCCAATTTCCTATTCTTCCGTTTTATTCTTCAATGTGAAAATATCGCTAGTTTCTGCTCTCCAACTTTCAATTGAAAAGAAAAGAGAGAGGAAGGGAGGGAGGGAAGGAGGGTACAGTTCTTAAAGTCACATTTCTTATCATGAGCAATTGTGAGACAAATAGTTTAAGTAACTGGATGGAATGCCTCTATTAAGTGACAATTGGAGAGAGTCAAAAATTATCAGTCAGCACTGATAAGGGGTTGCAACATTGTTTTTTTAACTTATTATATATAGATTGTAGAGCTTCTGCTAAAATAACAAATACATGTTAAATATTTGCTACTTTTATTTCATATAGAAGGAAGGGGGGGGGAGGCAGACCTCATTGAAGCTCAGCAGATCTCTTCTTCCAATTGTCTTAAGGATCCTAAAAATGTCTTTCTTTGTTCTTTCATACAGATGGTATTTTTAATTACAAATGTTTATTTTGATTGTAAAGCACTTTAGAAGGATTGTACCCTCTGAAATGTAGCTATAAATTATTGCAATATATTAATAAATATCTGCAAGGTACCTAGGGTCTAATTATCTAGGAAAAACGTATAGGAACCTATTATTTGCACTTAAACCTATGGTCAGAATATTGACTTTGGAAGTAGCATAGGTTCATAACTAAAAAGCACCGGAAATTCTCATTTGTCAATTAAAAATATGCTCTGAGAAGCTAGGAAAAAACTCCCAGTCGAGTAATTAAAAACAAATAATAAAAAAACCATATGCACATTATGGCAAGTATTAAAAGAGAGAAGGAGAAATTAATGCATAAATACACAAACCACAGTTAAGCAGAAATTTAAGATGGGAAAGCTCAGAAAAAAATCGTGATGATTTTGGCACAGCTACATCTTATGCATCAGTTATGATCATCCTTGGATCAAGAGACTTTGTACACATAGTACATGGAGCTGCCCTCAAAGAGCAGTTGGAAACTATAGCTGGTACAAAATCTGCAGCATGGGCAGTGATATGATATCCTAAGATACAATGACACCCATAACTTTGAAAGCTAAAGTAGTTACTAGTTTATCCCCAGTACAGTTCTAGATGTTGATTGTCACCTTCCATGCCTTACATAGCACCAGATTGCTTTCTTCCATTACATCAGGTTGAATAGAGTTGATCCCGTCCAGATCCTATTGCTACAAAGATGCCACTTAATGTGATCTCGGAAGCGGGCATCTTCAATTTCTATTTTGATGCTGCAGAATTCCTACCTATGTACAGCCAATCTGTTCCTTGGTTCGTTCTTTCTTTCTTTCTTTCTTTCTTTCTTTCTTTCTTTCTTTCTTTCTTTCTCTCTCTCTCTCTCTCTCTCTCTTTCTTTCCTTCCTTCCATCCTTCCTTCCTTTCTTTTCCAGATAAACCAGATAAATTTGTAAAATAGAAAGAATACATAAATGTGATATGCATTCCTTTCACTATTTCAATGTAGTGCAGTGAAGATCTTGCATGATGTCCTTCCTTCAGAAGCTGATTTTTTTAAAAAATAATTAAATTAAACAGTGGTAAGTCTCTTTCCTTTGGGATGCATTCATATCACCATTGGCACAGAAAAAAACAGCATGTAATTTTTTTTTCAGCTCTACTTACCCATTAAGATACTCAATAGTTTTTGAACTCTGGAGTTGACCCCAACTATTCTGTAGAGTCCTTGTTCGTTGATCCCTATGGAGTGAAATTATTTAATTTAGATAAATGGTTGGAAAGTAATTTAATGCTTCTTTTTAAAAAGAGCAGTTTCTCACAGAGCTACACTAATTAAAGTCTCTCACAGCATTCTACACACTTTTCAAGTTTCTTATTAAAGTGGATAGCATTTCTTTTTGTGTTTCAGATTAAAGACCCAGATGCGATTTCTAGTAAAAGTTACTCCCACACTATAATGAGATAATTAAAAAAAACAAGGGAATGTAAAAACCTGTTGTTAGGTGTGGGATTGGGGCTGAGAGGTCATATACACAAACAGCAGTACAGAATGTCTCTAAGAATTAGACATCGTGTTTAAATGACCTTAGCTTTTATTATTTGAAAAATTTAATTTCTTTTTTTCAAAAAATTCACCAGTTTGGTTATACAGCTGAATAATAATATTTAACCTATAATTTTAATCAACACCAATATTCTTAAGCTGTTTTTTTATTTAATATCAAATCAAATACAGACTTGTGGTTGTGGGGTATAAAAGCTAAAGTTAAACAATTATTTTTATAGGCCACAGTTTGTGTTCATAAAAATTTAAAATATCTACAATCATAAAAAAGGTAATCAGAAAATAAATTAACATTGCTTTAAGTAGGGTCCTAAAAAGAAGCAGTACATTTCTGGGAAAGTATAATTCTCAAAAGTTATTTCATTTGATATTTTAAAGGTGAACTTCCCTCAGTAACATAAGCTGATTTAAAAATCAGATCATGAAAACCAAGACAGTATCTGACAGTTGAGGGAAGAAAGAGTGCCGAGGAAGCCTCCATATAGATAGAATATAGTTCTGTATCTGGAAACATCACCTCTAGATTCAACAGCATGGATACACTTCTTAACGATGCTGAAACCCATATTATCCAACTGGGCCACTGCAAGGGAAAAAAACAATTTACTAAGGAAAAGAGTAATAGTTTAATAGAAATGCAACATCATTATTTTGCTTTGCTTTGCCTTTTTTAAAATATATAAAAGCATCCTAAAACAGAGTACATTTCTCAAGATACTTTTTACTGTCCAGGGTAGAACTATAAGGATCAAAACACGGACATCTGAATAATTATTCTGAAACACTTCTATTAATAATCCCATGGGACTGGAAGAGAAATCAGAAATTTGAAGAAAAGTAAATTACCAATGACTTAACTAAGGATATGTGGGGAATGGACAGGTTGATGAGTATGTGTGATGGAACACAAGCAAGGAAACCAATGATAAAGGTTTGAGTAAAGCAGTTGCAGTTCTGAACTATGGGATTCTACAAGGGTGCACGACAAACAAATGACAAGTGTATTGAGATGGCCCAACACAAAGTTGATCTCTTTTGCGTTCACTTCTTAATATTGTATGCAACTGCACAAGGGGCAGAGCATGTTTCCATCATTTCGACAAAGTCTTGACTTACTGTGATTGACACCGTTCTCACGTAATAGTTTAAGGATCAGGTAAGTAAATAATCCCACATTAGTTATTATCAATGTAATTCTGTTTGTTATTTACATTTTTCTTTCTCTTGTGTGACCTCAATATGTCCATACTGAAAACAAAAATGCCTGGCAGACTTTGTCACATTCTGCCTGTTCTTAAATGTAAAGGCAAAAGACTGAGGATTTTGCCGCACCTCCTACCATCACCTCTCTGGACTCGGGCTGTATACAACTCCAAAAATGGTATTCTACTACTCTCTGGAGAATGAATGACTAAACACCCACCAAGTAAATATATCTTCAAAACCCTGCCATTATCATTCCAAGTTGCTGAATTAGGGCTTAAAAGTCCTATGTGGGTGAGATCAGTTGCTATTTCCTGGCACTCTATGCTACCTAATGGTCTCACACAGTCTTTTAAAAAAAGAGCTTATTAAACATTCCAACTGACTGCTAGCACATGGTTAGAATTACAGAAATAAATAACCATCCCTAAAATACAAAATTTACAATAAAGCTCGGAGTCATGTGGTACAATCTTGAAGCAGGGGTATCTACTGGATACAGCTGTTCTGTGATATCTCAGCTGGCTTGGAAGTGAAGGATCCATGCTGTTCTCATTCTTTTTAGTACTGTGGCTACAACTTCCACGAAGGAATTGCTTATCAAACAATACATTGCAGTTCCTTTTATTCATTTCATTTTGCAGACTTCCAAAAGGTGTTATTATCATTATCATTGTGGTGTATGAAATATTTATTCTATGCTGATGACAGTATCCTAGAATCATGCAAACAAATTACAGGATAAGTATCCAAGCATTGTCACTAGGGCTACAAAAAAAATCAATTGCGTTCCTCTAGTACACTTTAAATAATTTGAATTAGTCATATATACAGCATATACATACATAATTATTAAATCCATTAAGGCTTAACACATGTTTTGGTCAGCTTCGACCTACAATGATATCTCTTCCCAATGGAAAAATAAATCTCTCTCACTGCTGGTAAGTATTTTAGTTAAAGACAGATAGTTTTGCAGTTAAAGCAGCGGTCCCCAACCTTTCCGGCAGCGGTGGTGGTGATGGGGCAGAGGGAATTGTTCTGTGCAAGTTTGCAGTCACAGGTGCGAAGCTCCATTTGTACAAGCAGCAGGTGTGTGCACCCGTTTACACAAATGGAGTAATAATAATAATGATAATAATAATAATAATAATAGTAAAGTTGGAAGGGACCTTGGAGGTCATCTAGTCCAACCCCCTGCTCAGGCAGGAAACCCTATACCATTTCGGACAAAAGGCTGTCCAGTCTCTTCTTAAAAACTTCCAGTGATGGAGCATTCACCGCTTCTGGAGGCAGGTTGTTCCACTGGTTAATTGTTCTAACTGTCAGGAAGTTTCTCCTTAGTTCTAGGTTGCTTCTCTCCTTGATCAGTTTCCATCCATTGCTTCTTGTCCTGCCTTCAGGCGCCTTGGAAAATAGCTTTTGCATGCTTGCACATAGCTTGTGCCACCCAGTTCCCAACAGGCCGTGGCCACAGCCCGGAGGTTGTGGACCCCTGCATTAAAGGACCTTGTTAATGGTCAACTGAGTAGAAAGCAAGAACAGCAACGGAAAGCTAGAGGAATTACAAAGAAGCAACTTCCCTGATGTTTCTCACGCTTTTATTCGGAAGGCATCTACTGTATCTACATAAGGCATCTAAATAAGCCAAGTGTCATTCTCAATGGGGAGTTGTGAATTTATATGTAATAACACCTAAAATAAATGTGGCAAATGGGTCCATTTGCACATGTATTTTAAGAAGGAATTCTAAAATATGAAACACACAGTTCAGATTAGACTACACTTATTAGAGAGGGAGTCTATTTTTGCTGCAGCTGCTATTTGCCATTGTCTATTTTTGTGTTTTAACAATCTGGTTGTGTGTTGTTCGGATCCCTTTTGGACTTTAGAGAGAATTTAGATGTTTTAAATAAATAAACAGGAGTTCCCAATTTCAGAGATTTGATTTTGGGAGACTAGTTTTTAGAGGCACAGTGTTGACTTTTTAAAAATATACAGTAGCTACACACCCAAAATCAATTTTTAAACAAAAAAATCTAAAACATTTCTTATAAAGTTTACTGCCTACATGTTGTAATAGGCAAAACATCAGTGCAGATATAAACACAAGTTGCTATTGATTATGGATGGTTCCACAAAACAGAGTGGTTCTTGTAAGAAATGTTCATATAATTTTTATCACGTAAGCCTACCGGAGCCATAAAACTATATAGATACCAGATGTATAGATGGAGTTCTCTCTATCATTTCACAGCTGGAACAACTGCAGCTGGAAACAAACAAGTGTGTTTTCTTGAAGGCTACATGAATGGATTCCTGTGTCTGAATGGTTAACATGCAACTTGGCTTGCAGATGAAATCTAAATTGCTGTGCAAGTGTATTAATTCATGGCTGGCATCCTGAACTAATAACCTCTCTTCAGTTTCAAAAGGAACTTTTCAAGAGTTGTTTCATTCAGAGCAAGGAGCAGGGATAAGAGATTCTGTTTATCTATGCAGAATAAACCAAACACTAGTATAAACACTGAGGAAAGGTTCAGACACCCGAATTAGTGGATAAGCCTTAAATGCACAAGCATGGGATTATTAAAAGAAACCAATTAAATATATTAAATAATTTGAGCAGTCCATCAACCTATCCAAAAATGAAGCAGGATATTCTCAAAAAGTTGAGAAAAAAACACAGTAGGGGGAATCCTCAATTAAGAGCTAGCAACCAGTATAAGACTCAAAATGGCCTGCTTTTTAGAAGAGCAATACATCTTAATATTCTTAGCTAAATGATCAATAAACAGAGCTCATAATTCTTTGCAAAGTAGGTTTCTTGAATTTTTTTTTTTCAAAAGGAACACTTCCATGTAGCTTCAAGAAATCCCAAAGGATTTCTATGAACGATCATGTAGACATGGAGGACAGCTCATCGAAAATGTGGAACAGTGCTTCAGCAATGAAAGAGCAAAATCAATATTGACGTTTACAGATCCTCTTGGTTCTGGTCATAACGCTTCAGTAGCAGCTCATTATTTCCTACCAGGATATTCATGCTATATTTTCAACTGTAATTTGCTAGCAGAAGGGGATTTTCAATGAAAAACATTTTAGAGAGACATCTCAGTCATGGTTTTCAATAAACATATGGCTCTTATAACTGTATTTTGATGGAGGAGAGATCCATGGAGGTCCCTACAGAACATGAGTTTTGGCTCTAGGATAATTGAAAAAGAGAAACATCAACTACCTTCCAATAACCTCTCTCTATGGCGGTTAAGGTAATCTCCTTATTTAAAGGTCACCACGATGTAAAAAAGATGTTGAGACTCTAGAAAGAGTACAGAGAAGAGCAACAAAGATGATTAGGGGACTGGAGGCTAAAACATATAAGGAAAGGCTGCTGGAATTGGGTACGTCTAGTTTAATGAAGAGAAGGACGAGTGGGGACATGATAGCAGTGTTCCAATATCTCAGGGGCTGCCACAAAGAAGAGGGAGTCAAGCTATTTTCCAAAGCGCCTGAGGGCAGGACAAGAAGCAACAGATGGAAACTAACCAAGGAGAGAAGCAACCTAGAACTAAGGAGACATTTCCTGACAGTTAGAACAATTAACCAGTGGAACAACCTGCCTCCAGAAGCGGTGAATGTTCCAACACTGGAAGTTTTTAAGAAGAAACTGGACAGCCATTTGTCCGAAATGGTATAAGATTTCCTGCCTGAGCAGGGGGTTGGACTAGATGACCTCCAAGGTCCCTTCCAACTTTACTATTATTATTATTATTATTATTATTATTATTATTATTATTATTATTATTATTACTATAATATCTCAAATTGCCATGACTTTCATACCCAATTACTCAGTTCTTTTGAGAGATCTGTGTTGCTGCTAGAGAAGAGTTTCTACACTAAATTATAATCCCAGCAAAAACAAAAGAAATTGCTTTCACCATCGTAACTGGGGGGAAAATGAAATCATTTAGCTAATCGACTCCTGGGATTAGAACAGAGAACATAAAACACTTTTATTTCCCGATCAGCACTATAATTGGAATGAGGCAAGTGACAGGCAAAGTTTTAGCGACTGTGAAGGGACTTTGGGATATAATAGGAAGGTGGTGATGCCATCTAGCTAGTTCTTGGCCTATCCTATCTTTCCCAACTGTTTTCAGTCTCAAAATGGAAGAATACCAAAGTTCAATAGGACTTGAGGTGTGCAAAAATGGCATTGGAGAGGTTGCTGGTGGCTGAATCCTGAATTATGCAATATAAATGTACTTGCACAATTTATATAAATGTACATGGAAGCACACAATTCTGAATTTACCATGGCAGTTAATACTAATCCCATCCAAACATAGGGTTTGAGAAGAAAGAAGCCTTGCGTGCACAGAAAAAATAGTCGAGTTTTCCTTTTCTTCTCGCCATTCTGTTGGCCCAGATTTTATTTTTTTCTCCTACTAGTGACTATAAAAGAGAAATACCTATTCTTATTAGCAGATGAATGTTCTGGGCAAGGAAACAAGGGAACTGGAAGAGGGTTGGAGAAAGGTCTCTTAGTTAAAATAATTACAGAGATCAGCAAGTAAATTAAACTGTTCTTTCAGTGTTAATTTTGCCAACTGCTAGCCCACAGATAACAGAAAATTGTGTCATATAGTGGCAAACTGATAATAATGCTCCTCCTACTGAAACCACAGAACTATGGGGCCAATTTATGGCAATACTGCAAAGAGAGGTCATGGGCTACTCTTTGATTAATGAGCTTTCCTGGACTTCCATGGCATTTTCAGGTCATATACAAGGAACCACTAAAATCAAAACAAAAGAGCAGACCTACGGCAACAGGAATATGTGCGTTCCCCCCTCCATTCAAATATTTGAAATTAAACATCCCCCAAAAAAGAGGTTGAACCCAAAAAGAAAAGAAAAAAAAATGCTAAAACCATTATCTGCCCCTTTTACCATACTCTCGGCAGATTTAATATGCCTTCCTACTTTAAAGTCAAATTGCTTGGGGAAAAACCCTGCTCTTCCTTTCACCTAAATAGAGTTCTGCATTTAAAAAGCTAGCAATAGGAAGTATCCGTGTCACAGAAAAATAAAATAATGGTTTTCCTTTTTATAAGTAGTCCTCGACTTATGACCACAATTGAGCCCAAAATTTATGTTGCTGAATGAGATAGTTGATAAGTGAATTTTGACTCATTTTACATCCTTCCTTGACACAGTTGTTAAGTGAATCACTGCAGATGTCAAGTTAGTAACCTGGTCATTAAGTGAATTTGTCAGAACCTCATGAAAGGGGGTCGGTGACCCCGGGACACCACAACCATCATAAATATGAGTCAGTTGCCAAGTGTCTAAATTTTGATCACATGACCACAGGGATGCTGCCACTGTAGTCACTTTTTTCAGTGCCGTTGTAAAACGGTGACTAAAGAAACTGTTGTAAGACGAGGACGACCTGTAGAATTCTGCATTTAAAAGGTCAGCGATAGGAAAATAGCACAGAAATGTCACAGAAAAATAAAATCATGGTTTTGCTCTATATATTGGTCAAAATCACCAGCAGCTAACTGCAAGTTTCTCTACTGCTTTTTCTTTAAATTTCTTAACACAGGAACATACGACTAGTAGGAAGAGAGATTCCTAGAAACACCAGGCTGACATAATCTCACAATCTGCTGAAGTGCAATCATCTCTAATTGTGCCGTCTTGTTTGACACGCTAGCGCTATTAAAGAGATGATAGGTATGCAAATCTTACACGGCTGGGAAGGGAGGAAAGGAAAGTGTGGGTTTAAAATTATATGGCATTTATCAACTGAAAAGCAGCAAGAGAAACTGGACCACTTCTGTATATAGCAGGCATGCCAAATCATGACGTCACGTGACGTCACGCGACGTCACGCGACTTTTTCCCCATTGCCGGCAATGGGGTGGGCGTGGTTTCGGCGTGATGCATCCGGCCCGCGGGCTGGCAGTTTGACATGCCTGGCATATAATGTCTGTCAGCCGGAGTGACCCAACAGCTGGAGATGCTGCTTCTCAAATTTACTAGGAACAACATTCTATTTATAAAGAAACACAACCAGCAGGGATCCCTTAGGATGAAAAGGGGCAATGAGCTCATGAAGGTTTCAGTTGAATGCTGCTCGCTCTTAAAAAAAAAAGGGGGGGGGGGAGGGAGCAACAGGAGGCAGTTTCTGAGTTTGCCTGGTTAAAAAGAATGCCATTCATCAGTATTCCCAAACTCAATAACCAACATATGAAAATCCACATTAACTTTATAAGCCACACCCAAGATAAACAAGAGATTTGCTGCTAGGTCACTGTATGGCAGCAGCTGTAAAGAGAAAGAAAAGAAAAAACTAGAACTGCAGTGATATTTGTAAACTGGCTCCCTGCTTAGAAATAGAAAACACATTTTAAATAGCAAGAAGTTCAAGTTGCTCAGAAAAACACATATCAAGCCTTTTGTTCTGTCCAATATTTGGGGTGAAGAGAGGAAAATATTTAAAGAGTGCTATTTCATACGTACAAAGAGCCTTTCATTCCCAAAATACATCTGCTCAACAACAGTCTAGGGACAGGCTCAGGTTTTGGGCAAACTCCATTTAGCATAAGATATTTTATTTCTATTCGTTGAATTTTAAGGAAAGTAAAACAAGGAACTAAGATTCAGAAAAATCTTAGTTCTCCTTCTCACTTCCCTTCTGTAAACCTCTGTGCCTGGGTTGTGTAAACTGAGAGAAAAGGTTGTTAAATAATTCGCCAAAGGAAACACACAATTTGCAACAAAGCCTGTTTCAGAACTCCGCAGTTCTTGGGTTGCATCCAGATGTTTACTTGCTGGAATTCCAGCAGCTATAAACCTCTTTTGTTTAATACAGTGATTGTCGGCCTTCACTGTTACTGTGAAACCACTTGATCCCCACAACTATACCTGAAAGTTTAAGGCTAGAGTAGAAGGCTAGAATAGATTATGGAGCACCATCTACTGGTTTATTCAAGCATTCAAGCCTAAAAAAATCATTTGCTCGATATTAGCTTTTTTTTTTTTTTAACTAAATAATAAATTACTTACTGCCTTCATTTTGGTTGTCCTTATTTGAGTTGTACACCTGCAAACAAAAAAAAAGTAATCATAGAAGTGCCATTATATCTTCATAATATCAATACCATATGCAAATACAGCCTCTGTGACCATGGACAGAAAAGATCAATAATAATTGATCAATAATAATATTTTTTAGGAAAATCAGTTTTCCTACAAAAAAATAATATTTATAGATACAAACAAAGGAAAGAATGTTTAAAATTGTTTTACAACATCCAAGGATGAGGTTCGTATATCTGCTGGATTTATATGCTACCCTCCTTCCAGGAACTCAATCAATACTATAACACAGAGTTTATATTTTCATTCCAACAAATTGAGGTCAATTGGACTGAGAGAAGGTGAGCTTCTGTGCCTAAGAGTAGACTGGAACATTGGTTTTCCAATCCTAGTCCATCATTTTAATAATTAAGCAACAATGGCTTTAATATGAGCATCAAACATACTGAACATTAAACAACAGCTCATTGTAAAATTACTGAAAAGATGGATGTACTATGTGAGGATCTGTAGAGACACAGAACAACATATTTTCTTCTTTAAAAACTTTTATAATGAATATGGAACTGGCCTTTGCTTTGCATCAATATACTAAGACAATGGGAAAATACATCAATCAGGACATCTCTATTGCCTTCATGGGAAGATGATTTCTTTAGAGTGCCAGTAATCATCTCCAAAGATCTGAAATAAGCAAACTAGAACATATATTTTACGTTCCTAGTAAATATTTCAGCCCATTTTGAATATGGTTGAAGGAGACAAAGATAGGCCCAAAGAAGACATAATCTCAAAAGAAGACATATGCCCAGAGAAGACATATGCCCAGAAAAACAGCTATGGGAATTAAGAATTAGCAAAAGCTATATGACAGGATTGTACTTTTAAATCTAGTTTATTATCTGCTTACATTTGTTTGCCCCAAACAAGCTGGTATCCTTCTCCACCCTGCTCCCTGCATTATTACATTTTTGTTTTATTTATTCAATTTAGGCATTGCCCAATACCAAATTGTTTGAATCCAGGCATTATGCAATAAAATGGGAAAATAAAGTAAAATATTAGAAACAAAGGAATACGAAAGGGAAGAAAGAACAAGATGAGATGGATAATCTGATTAACAACACCCACATCTCCAAGCATATTACACTGGGGCTCCAATCAACCTAACTCAAGGTCTGAAGGAACATCCAATTCTTCAAGGCTTTCTGGAATGCTATCATAGTGGGAGCCACATGGATATCATTTGGAATCTCATTCCAGAGGACAGGCATAGCAATAGAGAAGACACATCCTGGGATTCCAATAGATGACATTGTTTGATTGAAGGAACATGGAGCACGTCAGTCTTGTTGGACTGAACTAGCTGGGCTGAACTGATGAGAGATAGGCAGACCCTCATGCAGATGTTGAACAAGAGGAGAGAGGGTGTCGACCCTGTGGCACCTAATGTTTTCTTCTCATGCAAATTAAATCTACAAGGAGAAGTTTCTGCACCCCTCCCTTTTCATGTAACAAAATTATTTTTCTTATTATTATTCATTAGTTTTCCTCAACAGTTTTTCCCAATTTAAAGTCTCAAAAGAAAAACAAACATGAGTCATTTTTCCCATGGACTCAGATAATATAAAAAATAAGTCAGTGCTAAATAAAGACAGCAGTAGGAGACCAGTATGAAAGAAGAGTGTTGATCTAATTTGGTCATATGTAGTTTGGTCATTTAGAGTGTATGGTACCCCAAAGCAAATATATGAAGAGTGAATAGGTGAGAGAAAGAGAAAGACCGAAGAAATGTAAGTAAGTTTCATTGTTGTATTCATAGCCCAGAGCAAGATAGCACACATTTTCTCATGTTTTGGGTGGTACACTATGAGGACTAAGATCAACCAGGTATAGAGATGCAGCTTGAATGTTGAACATGTTCATTTTCATTATTTAACTCACACTAAAATAACAGATACAATTCTTTATGTTATACCTTTTGAATTGATAAAATGCTGCATTTCAAAGTAGTCCACTTATTCCAAATTAGGAATTTCCACAGGAGATTTCCAGTAGTTTTAGAAAGAAAAAAATCCATTTCTCAAACTTTTTCAACTTTCATTTTCTAAGCCTTTACTTGTATATTCAGGATAAATTCCTGCTAAGTATTGTTTGTTTCTAGATAAAGTAAATATTACATACTAAGTCCCCTTTGTTTTCTAATCCAAAGAAGATTGAATTCTGCCGTGCTATTTTTGGACTTCTCACTAGCCTGGGGTAGTGGGGGATTCTTAAACAATCAGTATTATGGCTTGGAAGAAAATATTTTTGCTGACTGCAAGCTTTTTCTGCTTCCTACTGAAACATTCTACCAAGCATTTTTCAGAGATGAGCAAGTAATTTCTTTTTATTATTGCAAAGAAATGTATAAAACTTCCAATCGTATTGTAGGTTTTTAAAGCTAAATATTTTTCTAATAGATATTCTGAGACATTTGTGTTTATCAATCCTTGATCAAAATAAAAACCCAGATTTTAATTGTCAGTAAAATGCTAGTCATTAGCCACTTTAAATGAAGAGATTCTTTCAGAGAGTACTTCAAGAAAAGGGTCCTAGTAATATATAAAGCCACTGTACGGATTTTTGCATGAAGTCCTCATTAGCAGATAGAAAAAAAATCAGCAAAAAAAGCTGACTTTTGATATTTATTGAATAATTCCATTTTAAAAAGTGTGGCCTGGAAGCACCAGAGTTTTTCCTCAAAAAGCTTGATCCTGTTCCTGATTTAGTTTGGCCCCTGAATGAGCAGAATGGGATGGGGAAATGATTGATAACAAGACTTCAGCAAAGTTTCCTTTCTCCCATATCTAGAGGGCAATGTTAATCTTTCAGGAGATAAACCAGTAATAATTCCTCCGATGTCTTTTATTGTTCCAAACAAATGTTAAAACAATCAGAGATAAGAAAGGCATTCCAATGTTGGCCTTTCCAACTTGTTTCTATATCAACATGTGATTTTTTTAAAAAGAGAAATCTCTAACGCATTTTCCAGCATACTTTTTAATAACATACAACGTTGTACAATTTTTTCTTAATTATGAATTTTTGCAAGCAATTGCCCCAATACAATGAGTTTTTTTCTAAGTTGTTTAACCAATACAGTAAACCTTATTTAATGAACTACTAGTTAAGGATCCATTAAATCTGAATTTGCATCATTTTGTTAATTATATAACGGACATAAATAGCATCATTTGCAAGCCTTGATGTGATGGGCAGATTCTTAAAGCCATGTATCAAATTTGTCCATTGCATCTAAAGTCTGTTAAACTGAAGTTTTACTATTGGTATCTATTTTTTGTTTATTTATTATCCAGTATACCACTGAAATCAACTGACTCCAGACATTTACATAGTCAAAACAACAATTAAACCACAAATACTGTACAACTTAATTCAGTACCAAAACCATAGCATTGCACAAACAAAGCAACATAAGCTCCAAATATACTTCTAAAGAAATAAAAATGGATTTTAAAAAAAAACCTTTCAAAAAATACTCCATGTAAGAACTCTCTTTTCCAAGGCCTTACTGAAAGATGCTAAGTTATTATTTTTTTTCCTGGCAATCATTCAGAAATCCAGATATATGGATTTATAAGGGCTTTTTGGTTTCTACAGCGGCTTGGGAAGTACAAAATGGGTAAGATCCACATTAACATGCACACCACATAACACTTGTTAGTCTAACACAATCTGTAGTATGAGCTGCACATATTTAACACCCAGGCTGATTTGGCACTCTAGCATAGTCAAGACAGCCAGCCTTGGATAACAGCCCAGGAAGAAGATACCAGACTAACCCTGAACAAGGTAGGTGCCAGTTGAAAATGGCAACCTTCCCTTGTCCGAATCGACCCACCCAGGCAACCTCTTCCCTTTAGGGGCTGACTCCATCTTATCAGCTCTTTTCTCATTTTGTCTGAGGGCCAGCTGGGTAAATTCCAGACAGGTTTGTTTTTTTTCCCTGACTTTTGGGGCCAGAATTTGTTCTTCGTTGTGGCTACAAAAAAGAAGCCAAAAGCTTATTTACAGGAACACATTTTAATATTTCTTTCCAGAAAGCATCAGGTCCCAGCATCCATCTTAACAACAAAAACAAATAAAAACTAGGGCAGTAATTTGGCATGGGGAGTTTGGCAGCAGTTTTGCCTTTAGCTTTTACTTTCAAAATTCTCCTGATTAAATAATTCAATGCTGAAAACGGTGCATGTTGGATCAAGCAAGTTGGAAAGAAGCAAAATGCGTAATGGTGTAAGAGTAAATCTAGCTATTCTGCTTAGGTTCGGGGACAAAAGCCATGCTAATCAGGGATACTTATATACTTCTCTAGAAAGAGTTTCTGATTATATAAGCAAGGCCTTACATGCATAGATATGTGCAAAAGCAAACTCCAGGAACACATATTAGACGACAGGATTAATCACTTCCAATTCATATGTTTACTATACCTATGAATTACTTTGTAGATGTCTAAACTTTCAGCATAAAACTTCACAGCCATTTGGGAGTTGCTAAAGAAAAGGTAATATTTTTAGGGCAGTTTACTATAGATATATAGTAAGTATTCCTAGTTCAAAGGTATGGCAGGAAAGAAAAACCCAAAGGAAAATAATTCTCTTTTAATCCTATTCACTCCTCTCTTTAGTATCTGAATTCTGCACAGGACAGAATTCTGTCCTGTCTTTTCCTTATCTCCTCCTCTTCCTCTTCTCCTCTTCCTTCGTGCATGCCTGTGTGTCTGTATCTTCAGATGCTTTCTTGAAATTCTGGTGTTTGTTTCTTTGCAGTGAAAGGCTTTCAGATCATCAGTTTTGGTCCAGAGCGATTGTGTCATATTCTTAAAGGGAAGGGTTGAGTCTGCCTTGGATGTACGTTATAGAGCAAGTCTTAAGTTCTTCTGAAATAATGAATAAGCAAAAAGTGCACTGCCTACAGTAGTGGCCAAAATTGTGGAAACCT